TGATATGAGAGAGAATCTATGAGAGATTATTCATATTTCAATATCGTATCCAAGCACGGTACAACCATCGCTATCTATCAATACGTCAATTGAGTTTATGCAGGGTGCATTCATCATGACATAGACATGAATGCATGCCGCTAGATATTATGCAGAGTGGCATGTAAATTGGTCCCACATTTTATTCGAAGTCTCATTTCTCAAATATATTCTTACCTAATGTTTATGACAATACTTCCTCTGGAATCAGCGCAATTTGCTTACAATCCGACTGCACCCTCCGTTACCTCCTAAGTGTATCAGTTAAACGTCATAATATTTACTGGAATTCGTTCTTCGAGAATTTATTTACAGTTAAGGCTCGGTGAAAGATAAATTTGCTGATTCAGGCAAGTGCATAAAAATAGCGCTTGACTGTGCTGCGAATTCAGTAATGGCATTGCCCAAATGCCATCTAGACTGCGATGTTACCCATACTTGGAGAAGCAACGTCTCTGCTCTTTCTGTCCCAAGGACCTTTTGGTGCTATACCCGCATCAGATTCGGATCCCTTATTATCAGTATGCTCTCGATGCCCAAGTCGGCAGAGAAATGTGAAGAGAAGGAGCAAAACGATGCACTCGATGCTTGGCTCAAGCGTACTATTACAATTGCACCAAACTTTCTAAAAGGTGAAAGTTCTAAGAAATCCATTGAAAAATGCAATCTGCAAAAGTTGGGATCCGTTGGGATCAACGTTCTTTCAATCTGGTCAATCGTCGGAAGAATGGAAGTGTTGGGGAGAGGGGGAATTGCTTTAGAAGGAATCTGAGCCTCCTCATCGAATGATCCTTTTGAAGCACGAGAGGTAAGGTAAAAAATAAAGTTACATAATTAAAACTAAGAAATAAAAAGAAACTTGAAAAGGAGAGAATTGCAGAGAATATTTTCATAACTACGTATCGTCGTTGATCCGAAAAAGGGGTGAATATTCAATTTCGAAAAAATTTTAGGAGGGCAAGAATATGCCTATTTTTTCGGACCGCAGAATGAAAATTTAGCAATGTTCGACTTTGTACTGGGAATCCCATCTCTTTAGTGGAAAGGCGAATTTTTTTTTTAGTCCGAGACTACTACTAAATCCGAAAGAATCGTGAATTCTTGTCATCCCATAAATATTCGAAATTACACATTCGTCCTTTAGTTCTATGTCGACGATAACAACTTTGAGTTCAGGTTTCCTCGGCGTTATAGTACAGAAAAGTCATGATGCGACTTACGGGCCGGAGTTTCAGAAATGGATATTCTCAAACTTTTTCTCCGTTGGATTTTGTCTCGACCTATAATTATCCTGAGGACATTCCCATCGCCAGCACAAATCTTGGAATGTGGTTGGCCTGCAATATACTGTATAGTCCTCCATGCTGCTATAGATTCTGTAGATTAAATAAATTTGAGCGAAATTTTCGATTTCGAAAGAGATTTTTCAGGCCAGGACGATGGACCATGCACCAGCTCGGTGCATGGACTAGATTGGATTTTTATGGACTGGATTGGACTGGATTCTCATCGAACTGACTCGACCCGCACGAAAATTTTCTCTCTACCCACTTGAAGAGCATTGAGACACGAGGCACACATGAATCCAATCGGACTAACGATGGGCCTGCAAATACGTGCGAGGCGAATTGATCAGTCGGGACAAGACGTGGCAGGTCAAAATAATCTTTTAGTCTCGTTCCTCTAGTGTGTACGAGAACGACTCCCCGGGGCAATGCAAAGACCATGCAGGAAACCGCGACGCTGGGAACTGCTTTCTTTTTTCATCGCAGCAGCATAATCATAAACGAAAAATTAAAAAAACTCTGACACAGGGAAACGTGATAGAATACCGCAACGAAAAAACCGATGACACCTACTTTTTAAGGTATCTACACTGATTACGGGTTTGGTCGAACTGAAACTCATTAAAGACAAGCGTGACACTCCTCTAATCCAAACGCTTTTAAAAATACAAATCGATTAGAAGGATGTCGATTAAAGTCACTCTCCCCCATGCCTCCTCTTATCGTTTTCGGAGCGAGGAGGACTTCCATTGAAAACGTGGTTGTCTCAGTGGTTTTTATCTCTGCTCTTTGTCAATCGGAGCATATTTTTATTGCAGCATAGGGTTAGAAAAAAAATGGAATCCTTCTGCACTGCTTTCCTCGCTGTGACAAAAACGGACTCAGAACGTTTGGATGGAGGGCATCTTTCAATAAGAGTGAAGTCAAGTTTTTCCCGTCCCATGACGCAAAAGAAAGAACTGAAAACGAGCATAGCCTTTGGGAAAGCTAAGAGGGAATAGAATAACTGCTTCTGCAAAAACGAGAGGAGAAAATTTTTGCGAAACGAGTATTGTGCGGAATGAGACACTTTCTGAACGTCATGTCTTGCGTTCATCCTCAGCTCTAAATCATACTCGGCTTATGGGAATGCGAAAGAAAATCATTTCTCACTTTTTTTTAGACTGAACGACGGGAACACACGGCATCATCATTTTGCTATTATGCACTACAGTAGGTTGATCTAACTCCTTTCCCAATGAAGAAGAGAAAGCCAAAAATTTGCTATATGGTGATCAGTCACGAAAACCCATACTACAGCATATTTTACCAAGTATGTTAGCATTGAAATGGAAACATGTAAACAAGACCAGGAGTTTGTCGCTTCCTTTTTCTTGGTTTACTTTGGCTCACTCTGGTTTCACTCTGGCTTTATCTATCACAAACACACTGTCGCAACGCCATTGGGTGACTCTTAACTGAAAAGGACGGGAATGGCCGAAAAACGACAGGTTTTGATCATGCAGATGATTCCACTTTCTAGTTTATTCCGTGCCAGATTATAACTCTCTTCGGTTTTAGTATTATTGCAACACATAATGGGTGTGTACGAGCATCTCGTAGTTGTAATCCAGTGGCCTGACACCTTATTTCCCAGACCACATGCAAAACGGCAAGCAAAAGTCGTCATTGCATCTGAGCCATATTACTTTTTGCTTTGCTTCCTATACAGAAAAGGATATGGCTGGAATGTTTTTTTTTTATCAACAAAAAACAATAGTACCGAAGTCCATCCCGGTGCTATCTTGTCCACCTCAAGCACCTTACTTCAGGTCTTATCGACGGCACAACGTTCAACACGAGGTTCAATGGAGCATCATAGTGTGGATTGATAAAATGCATAGGTGACACTTCAGCTAAAATTGCAGGATTCATTCCACGTAACCTTCTTCACCATGACAATTGTAAAGAGAAGAGTCACACCAGGTGATTAACCCAAGACGATGGGACTATACAGCGTTCGATTTCTCTTGTCTCGCTATCCCATAGCAAATTTCAAACAATTAACATCAACGCAACAGAGATGAAAACATCAGCTGCTCCTGTTTTATGGTACTTATAATGATCCCATAGATGCGAGAAAATTTTTCAACCCCGAAGAAGTGTCAACCGTAACAGTGTTCTGTGCCATCTCCGTGCTGCTACCCTTTCGCAACCGTGTTGAACATGACATGACTAGATTGTGGTAGGTTGAGAAAACCTTGACATCTTAGCGTCGCCCCCAACCACCGCCTCACGAACTATTGGGCTGTTCCACCTTCGGTGAGGACATCATTAACACCTACTCAGTCGACCACGAGGTCAAAGAGAAAGACAAGATAGACAGGCTAAAGGTTGGCCTCAGTTCTTGTGCTCAGCGGCACAATGATGGACCAGTCTTGAACGACCTGGAATGGCAGATGGTCACAAGGGATCCGGAACGGATTCCTTGTGACACGATTAACATCCCACAGATTTCATCACCTCTTCTGTGCTGCAGAGAACTTTCACGAACTCTCTTCCTGCTAATACATGCCACAGCTGCTTACGACTGATATCATATCCTGGGCTGCCCTGGTAACTCGAATCGTATCACCTTCCAATTCATCCAATTTTTGGAGGAAACGAAATGACTGCAAGTCGACTTCAATGACAAGCGTAGAAATATAGCTAATGAGACATAAAAATGAGGTTAATCTGAAACCAATATAATGCGAGACTGCTTGATACAGAGAATTCTGGAAAATCTTGCGTGATATTCAAATGTGTTCCTGCACCGCAGCAGAGCTATTTCGGCGAGATCGGGATAGTCTGATGCCTCTGCATCCCCATTCTATCATTCTGATCTTCCGTCACAGAAAGAGTCAGTATATCTCTTACAGTTGAGATGTGTTACGATTTTACTAGTTGCTTAATACGAGATAACTGAATCATACACGAGTTGATTCACTGTTCCTGCTCTTCAAAACTGTACTCCAGCTTCGATGCAAAAAATGCATTTATGCACTTTAACGTCACGGTTCTCCTGTAGGCCTTCATCAAAGGGTAATCACGCAAGAGCAACATCGATTTCTCGTCGATCGCGGATGAATGTTCAGATCACCATGGTGAAAAAAAGGGGGAAAGATGAATGGAGAAAATGATAGATCGATCATATTGGAGAGGGAGAAAGGGAAGGATGCAGATGTCCCGACGTGCCTTATCCTTACGAGTGTCCTCCCGATTGTCACGTGCTCCATCGATCCCCTCACAATATTCCATAAATCCAACTTCCCTCTACAGGCCTATGAGGATTTAGGGATGAGGAGAGAGGGAAAGTGGTCCTCCTTCTCCCGTCTTGGGAGGTCCTCGGTCGAGCATCGAGATTGGCTCTCATTCCGAGTCTTCACCCGTTCTCCTCTAATTGCCACCTCTTCCCCTTGTCATGAGGCTTATAACTGAATCACACCAGGAATGCATGTGCGAGTCATCATCCCCAACAATATGAATACACATTCCTTCCGAGACTGTTTCGTGACTTCCAAGTTCGCTCATGTGACATGTGCCATACAAAGCACGTCTTGATAACATGCGTGGAACGCTGGGAATGGATGACAGTCAGTGGGGAATGTAAAGAAACCGGATCCAGAGTATGCAAATCTCGGTATGCAGGAAGGAATGAGTCAGCATTCGGTAGGGTCCAGTCTTGCATGGCTAATATAGGTTAGGCCGTTGTGGACCTGTCCTACTCCAGTGTGCATGTTTTCGCCCATTTCATGGGAATGAAAGAGCCGGCCCCATTAATCCATTGATCCGATTAAATCACATCCTGTGCTTGTCTTCCATGATGCGTCCCCAAAAATTCTTTCCTTCTTACGTGAATATAAATAAAAACTGGATCTCACCATACATCGTTCAGAAGTGTCTTTACCCGAAAATGCAATTAAGAAGGGTGGTTAATTCCAGTCTATTGAGGCACAACGAGGCAGAAGAATGAGATCTCAATTAAGGCCCTCGGCTGAGAATGAAAGCAATTACGGAGAGGCTCGAATGTGAAGATGTTTACAGAGAGCGACACCACTGCTCCTCTCCTCTTCGGAGAATGCATGACTGAAGTAAATTAAAGTCCCTGGTATGTTCCTTTCCAGTTTCCCGGTTCATGGGATCATCGGCAGCAGCTGCAGCCGCGGCAGCAGCAGCAGGGGTCAACATGAACGTGAACATGAGCGTGAACGTCCACGCTGGGATGGGTGGAATGAGTGTGAGCCACAGTGGCATGGCGTTACCCCCGCAATCCACGAAAATGCCACACGTTCAGTTCCCTCTCACTCAACGACGGAAGAGAAGGGTTCTTTTCACTCAAGCCCAAGTAAATACCCAATATTCACTCGCTTCTCATCTCTCCCGATAGAGGCTTACAAAATTATTTTATAGGTGTATGAACTGGAGCGTCGTTTCAAGCAGCAGAAGTACCTGTCGGCTCCCGAGAGGGAACATTTGGCTAGTCTTATCCACCTGACTCCGACCCAGGTCAAGATCTGGTTTCAGAACCACCGATACAAGTGCAAGAGACAAGCCAAGGAACGGCTCATGGCGGAACAAAACACTTCCAATCCAAATTCACAGGTACATTGAAAACTTATTTGCAGCTTACCCTACCTAGATGAACAAGTACTAAAGCATTTCATCCGAAGTGTCTTGCCTTCTGTCCTTGAAAATTGAGTGAAGCAAATATGAGCTAACTTGTTTTTTATTTTTTTATTTTAGGGGAATGGAGGGACAGGTGGAAGTTCTCCACGGAGGGTAGCAGTTCCAGTGCTAGTGCGAGATGGGAAGCCATGCAGCACCCATTCCAATCCGAGTCCCTCGTCCACATCTGATGAAACCAACAGTGGAGGGGAGCAAACAACAATGGAACAGCACCAGACGGCAAGCCCGATCCCGATTCACCATTCCGCTGTTCCCGTAATGCATGGTTCCACCCCAGGTCATCATCAAGGCCCGAGTTGTCATCAGGGCCTCTACGACATGGACTCCATGATGACTACTCCCATCACCGCCAACTATCTGCATCAACTTCACACCCGAGCTTGGTAGCTCTCAACAACACCAATGCGACTTTTTCTTGGTTGTATCGTGTTTTTGCTGTTGATCGTATTATATGCTGTCACGTGCCTGTGTTCCTACTTCATATTTGGGATATTTCAATCATGGCTGTGATATTGTCAGCAGTTTACGAAAACAAGACGGCGTGTTTTGTGTTGATGATGACCGACAGGCTCAGCGGTCGACAACGACGTCGAATGTCCTAAAACTTGTGTTTGCTCTCGTGTTCCCTCGGCATAAATTGAATAAAGTCCACTTTTGTGGAGTGGAGTCGGGCTTTCTCTGCTCAAGCGGACTTCCGAGGATTACGCAAAATAGGAGCCAGGCTTTAATCTTGTTTGCCTAGACAACCTGGTCTGTGTGGTCAGGTAAAATGTTCCTCTCTTTTCCCTCCCTTCATCGCTTTTCCCCCTCCCCTGAAAGAAAATTTGTCATTCGAGGGAGATGAAGCGGATATGATTATATTCGATGATGAAACTCCTGCGGTGCAGGCCTGTCTCATGGGAAGTTCCCCACATGAATTAATCACGGTCAGTGGACGTATGACAGGATTCCCCTGAAGAACCTGCAGTCGAGGGTGTGAAATGGAGTCTGAAAGGGCTGGAGATATTCAAACGAGCCTGTCATGGACACAATGTGGGGATTGGGAACGGCAGTCAAAGCCATCCTTCCTTCCTTCCCCCTGTCATATCTCCGCCACCCTCTCCTTTTCTTCCAGCTCAATTTTCCATCTCATTCCATTCCATTCCGTCCTTTCCCATTCCATTCTCTCCGAAACACACGTCACGGACCACCCAAACTACACCAACCATCATTGCGGAAAAAACGCGCGATATGAATCAGATGCCGTACCTTCCCCTTCCTCACCCCTACTTGCGTGAATTGCATCATCCCCCTCGAATGCCTACTGGCATTCCAATCCATGCTCCCTTTCGTGAACTATCCCAGTACCAGAGGGGGAAGAGTCCACGGAGGGAAAAAAAGCCTGGTAGGAGGGATCTTCCGAATGAATGAACATCACTGCGAGGGGGGAGTAATGCCTTCCCAATAGCTGTCAATATAATGGTGCGTGGAAGTGCCAAACCTATGGCATTATTGGCTCCCTGCTCATCCAGCCAGAAAGGAAGAAAGACTAAGCCAGCCGGTAAATAAGCCAGCTAGCTCCCATTGCATGGATATCCCTACATTGAAGGTGGTATGATTTATTCATGAATTCGGTTAAACAAAAGCCGCCCACACTGAGCATACAATGAGCGACGTACCCATATTTCCATGCATGCAAATTAATCGCTTAATTACACGATGATCCGTCGGAACTCGATAAAGACAGCTGGGATAATGTTTCGTCTCCGGAGAATCTGCTTCCATATTCGATCCGCAGATTCTTTGTTCGGGATGTTTACCGACAAGCAAGATGACTTTGTATGAAGGAGATTTCCCCGCTTACCTACAGTGAAGCAGGTGCAGGATAAGACCTATAAATGAGAGAAAATCCCTATCAAGGCATTAAGGGATCATTGGCGATCACATTTAATTGCATTCTCAGCCCACGTCATCCTCTCTTCCTCATCATCATCTCGAATGACGACAATGGGGAAGAAGAAGAGATTAGGTGGGAGCCTACAGTAGCGTGGGAGGGAAGAAAAAAAGAGGAAACGGGGAAAAGGCTGGCGGGGAAATAATAATTATCAAAAATATGGGGAAGAGGTTGTCTGGAGCAGACATTTTTGCCATCTGTAATTGGGCATGGAATGAGTCATAATGTGGGATATCTCGTCCTGTCAGAGCCAGATGACAAAGGGAGTCCATTAAGATGACCCTGGCTTGCTTTTGACGGCTGTCCACCTTATGCACTCGGCATTTCATATCATGCACAAATCACATCAGAAACCGTCGAATCCCAGATATAATCTCCCTTCCAATTTCTTCTCCAGCTCTCAGGGGTTTCGATTGATTTCGGTGACACGAACAATCCCGAAACTCATTGCCGTAAGATAAACACTAGACATTAATATTGGTAGTACTTCATTACTGCAGCTACGGCTTTATTATACTAGAGAGGATGAAGTGGAGACGCAATAGATGATGCAATAGATGAGGAAGAGGAGAGAAGGGTCGATGGTGAAAGATATTGGGTTCTCCCATGAATGTTCCCGCCTTCTCTATCTGCTCTTCCTCCTGTTTACTTTCCTTGAGTGTCTGCGTGCATGGCCTATATCCCTTTGCGAGATCTATATGGATCGCCTGAATTTCTCCCTCTTCCTTCTCTCCGCATCTCGTCCATTTCTCATCTCTTCCCAAGTTCTGATCCGGGTCCCTCGTCGAGAGATTTCCGTTCTGAAGAAGGAAGCCTGACTCGAATGGAGAAGGCGTGGAAGGGGGGGTCGATTTCCAATGTCATCAAATGGGGATGGACAACTATGAAAGAGGGGGGGAAAGAGAGCCTAGTGTTTGTCTCTGGCTATTGGGAGTCGATAGAAGAGTTGACCGATGGAGTCTACTTCTCTGGGACGAGGTCTCCCCCAACGTTTACCCTTCAATACATGGTGCGGAAACAAAAGAAAGACAAGTGCAAGTCCCCTCTATGCTCTTACAATTCATCCATTGTATCTCCATGCCGGCATTCAAGAGAAGTCCTGACACATCCCGCAACTTCACGTCATGACAGCTCGATAGAAGATGGAACTCCACACACTGATAGCGCCTTATAATAAGAGGATGAATGAGGTTTGTCACAAGACATTGCATTCTCGGGGTTCGTGCGACTAAACGAAAACATAAAGTAACAAAAGTTGGTATTGATTAATTTAAAATCCAATAGGATGTCTTATGCCAGAAGCTACTGGCCGATTTCGATCAGTGAGGTACCCATGAACTTGCTTCATTGAGGCTTAGTTGTGAATTTCAAGTGCTGAAGTAGTACTGGCAGTACTGAGAAGTACTTTTCGAAAGTACTGAGTACTTTTCGAAAAGTACTTCGTTTCTTTACAAGTGACATTTGATGTGGCATAAGACATATTTTGACTCATTTACGCAATATTGTCCTACTTTTGGGTACCTACGACTGAACAAGACCCCAAAATAGTGAAAAGTACATCCCAATGAGGATAGGCCTAGCAACTGGCGGGTCTGTTTCAACAACTGTTGGATCGATTCCCGCCGAATATGGAAGCAATAGATTTGCCTCACCTGGCGGGCGTTTCTTTCATGGGTGGCAAGTATTGTACAGTGTTATTAGCAGTATTATCTGTGAAGCTCTGAATATTGATGAAGTGTATGGCAACAAGCGAGCGTCTTTTAGGGGCTGAACACGTACTGAACAATTACAATAATAAGTACGTACAATTAAAAATTCCACAAAATTCCCTTCCAAAAGAACGAAAGTGCCTTGAATTTAACACGAAATACCAAGGGCATCTACTGGACCTTGCAGCATGTGCTATTTAATGCAACTTTGAACAGGAATACAGTGTTCTTTTGAATAATTAATTCCATAAAAAGCTCCCAGCTTCCTGCGACCTTTAAAACTTGTAATATCCCTTCTTCTTTTAATTCTTCCCATGTTTATATCGTGCCACGATCGCGGCTTATCCTATATAATTAGAAAGCTCCCTATATCTAGCTTTCCAATGTAACATAATTTATCTTATTCGCGAAAGATGATGACTTGCGAGCAGAAGGAGAAATAAGACTCCAGCAGGCTCCGTCCCGGACGTTTATGAAAACATGTTTCGCGATCAACTGGAAGTTTTGGCTCGAAGACGACATGTATAAGTAGCGGTTATATATTATTCCTTGATAAGAAAATAATTACTGCCCAATGAGTCTACTCGAGCTGATCAGGCAGAGTTTTCTATTTCTCCTGCTCGCAAGTCATCATCGTTCGCGAATAAGGCAAATTATGTTACCTTGGAAAGCTAGATATTTGAGTCGCCCTTCTCCAACGAAGAAAACGGACGACATGATGCCTCGAAATGTGAAAATGCATGCAACTTCCCCGTGGCCTCTCGCTTTTCGCATCTATCTGGGGAAATTAGGTACGTACATGCCTATAAGGAATGTCCCGTGAGAAATTCCAGGATGTCACCTTTCGAAGACTCAATGAAATTGTCCAAGAGGGCGCAAGAATCCCATCTAAATTGCGATCTTGCACCAGCGAAGCACCACCGCGCCGCTACGGAGGCGAGGAATCCATGCAGTTTGAATACGAGTTCAGATTACCGTCTCGCGTCACCCCCCCCCCCCCCCCCCCCCCCCCCCCTTCCCCACTCCCAAAAGCAAACGGAGAAAAGACTTGGAAGCATAAGCATCACCAGCGAAGAAGGATATTAGGCATGGAAAAACACACGGTGGTATGCCCTCCCGGACGAGCGATTCACGCTTGGGTCTCCCTCCCTCCCTTCCTCGTGCGCTTCTCTTTAAGCGCATTCAACCAAAAAGAACTGACGTTCATGCATTTCCCATGGAAACATCGCAAGATCCGAGGGTAAGCCTATTAGTATCCTCGCGAGACGGTAATCTGAACTCGTATTCAAACTGCATGGATTCCTCGCCTCCGTAGCGGCGCGGTGGTGCTTCGCTGGTGCAAGATCGCAATTTAGATGGGATTCTTGCGCCCTCTTCAGGACAATTAACAAAGTCTTTCAACTGCTATCGTGGCTTTTTTTTCGTTCCCTTTTTGTTCATCAGCACTCGTGTTGGCATTCCTGGTTTCTGAAGGCCTTTAAACTGACGAAACACGACTCAGTGAGACCGACAGAGGGAAAGTTCCCGCAAATTTATTGGAGGTGAGATGTTGAAGTTCTCTCGGTCACCTTGGTCTAGATGTAGCACTTCCACTGCGTTCATACGCATAAGCTACTCGTTTGAGAGCAGCGGCCGTGGCAGGGCATGACGAAGTGAATAGTGTTCCTCATTCATTTCCCCCCCCCCCCCCCCCCCCCCCTCCTCTCCCCCTCCATCCCCCTCTTCATTCCCCCCCTTTGTGATGC